AGGAAAAAGAACTCAATAAGCTAAAGCAAGAATGTGACCAACTTGTCCTCAATCAGCATCCAGCTTCAGACAAAATTGAGGTAGGCTTCCTGACGTTATATTAGGGGCAAAAAAGGGAAACTTTTTATCTATACAAATGAATGATTCTTATTCATGATGAAGCTATACTAACTTTATTTTCTATTTTGGGATCAATACCCTAGGCCAGGGGTTGGCAAACTTTTGTAGAAAAGGACCAGGTAATAATCAATGTTTTGTACTTGTGGGCCATTTGGTCTCTGTCATAATTATGTAACTATGCCATTACAATGCAAAAGCAGCCATAGACAATATGTTAATGAATGAATATGGCTGTGTTCCAATAAAACTTTATTTACAAATTCAGGAAATAGGCCAAACATGGCCTTTAGGCTGCAGTTTGCTGACCCTCTGCCCTAGGCTGCTATCTGTGGGCCATGCTCACAGCTGACTCTAGTTGGTGACACTGATATGGCCATAGTTGGTAAGAATCATGCTTTAAGCCTCCTAAGCCCTTCACCTGAATGCCTCAGCCTGCACTGTGGTCCACCAACTGTTCAAGGACAGGGCTTCATACTGCAGAGGGACCCTGCTGCAGGGCTGTCCCCTATGTATGTTCTGATTGGTCAATAACCCTGCTATTTGGGTAATAGATATTTTGACTAATACTCCTAGAAGTATGTATTCAAGAGACTGATTTTAAGATTTTGTTTCAATCATACGAACAGTTCCCTGGTGGGAAATTCACTTTGTAACTGAGAATGAAAAAAGTTTGCTTAAAATTAGATAAAACTATTTCTGGGACAGCGCCTATGGCTCAGTGGGTAGGGTGCTGGCTCCCATAAACTGAGAATGAAAAAAGTTTGCTTAAAATTAGATAAAAACTATTTCTGGGACAGCGCCTATGGCTCAGTGGGTAGGGTGCTGGCCCCATAAATTGAGGGTGGCGGGTTCAAACCTGGCCCTGGCTAAACTGGAACAAAAAATATGGGCATCGTGGCGGGCGCCTGTGGTCCTAGCTACTCAGGAGGCTGAGGCAAGAGAATCGCCTAAGCCCAGAAGTTGGAGGTTGCTGTGAGCTATGATGCCATAGCACTCTACTGAGGGTGACAAAGTGAGACTGTGTCTGTACAAAAAAAAAACAAAACCAAAAAACAACTATTTTTTAACTTTTCTTCCTAGTCACATATATCTAAAGGAATGTATGCATCTCTGTGCTGAGTGGGACTAAGACCACAGACACTTTCTCTTTTCAGGCCTATATGGACACTCTGCAGACACAGTGGAGTTGGATTCTTCAGATCACCAAATGCATTGATGTTCATCTCAAAGAAAATGCTGCCTACTTTCAGGTTTGTATACTTAGTAATAATTTCATTATCTTCTATGTTATAATACCTTATTTTTTGAGTATATGTTTCAAAGCACTGAAAATCTTGAAAATGCTGCATAAATCCTCATTACTGGTCTTTGGTGTAGAGGAGCAGATATTTTTAACCTGGCCACTACTCACTCAGATGTTATATACGTAAATAATGCATGCTCTTGCCTTTGCTTTGGCCACCTGGCAAAGAGAGAGGCTTAGGGATGATAGTCCTTGGAACAGAACTACTTGGTGCAATTGGTTATTGAAGTGCTTTTCACTGGCATGGGAACACTCTCATCCTTCACAGTTTTTTGAAGAGGCCCAGGCAACGGAAGCATACCTGAAGGGGCTTCAAGACTCCATCAGGAAGAAGTACCCCTGCGACAAGAACATGCCCCTGCAGCACCTGCTGGAACAGATCAAGGAGCTGGAGGTAGTATCTCTGACCCGGAACTTCAGCAGCTGTCCTTCGGGGCGGGGGGAGGAGATAAAATGCGCCCCCTGCATGCAGCACACGCTGCTCATGGGTATTATTCTACAAGGACACCCAGAGCCCCAGCAAACGCTTTCTTCCTCTTTCAGTGGCTTTTCTCGCAGGGTATTTCTTGCCATTCTACTACTCAGCTACTACTGAGAATTACTTTTAGTGTTTTGCTTGGCACAAAACATAGAGAACACTGATTACTTACCATGGTAATTCCTTAGGGAAAGCATACTTAACAATTTTATCAGCATAGAACTCTCATACAAGGGTATTCTTTCCTGTCCCTTTAATGCATGGCCGTGTAGCTTCTGGAGAGTCCTGTGATGAAGGTTCTCATGTTTCCTGCTGACGAATTTGCAGCTTTTTTACAGCTAATGTAACTATAGTGACATTTATCGATAATTTGTAATGTCATAGGGGCCACATTCATGTTATTGGAAGATCTCTAAAATTCACTGAGTGTTGGTGTTAAAGTATAATTTCATTTGCAATTGCAGAAAGAACGAGAGAAAATCCTTGAATACAAGCGTCAGGTGCAGAATTTGGTAAACAAATCCAAGAAGATTGTACAGCTGAAACCACGCAACCCTGACTACAGAAGCAATAAACCTATTATTCTCAGGGCTCTCTGTGACTACAAACAAGACCAGGTATGTATTCAGTCATTTAGAAAGGCACAAAAGTTTTCCCTTTCTTTACATTGGATTTTTGTTAATCAAGAGAGAAAAAAAAAAATCAAGAGAGCAGACTTTAATCCAGGTTTTAATAGTCACCACAGCCAGTGTCTTGTCTTTTCTGTATAAAGCAGCAAGCTGTTGAACAAATGTAGAGTTCTATTTTGAGTCATATGATTGTTGTCAATAATTAGGACAATAGTTCTTTTTAGAACTGAAAAAAATTCTATTTAGAACTTAATACTTCTTCTAGTATTTAAAACGTATTTATCTAGCTTGGCACCTATAGCTCAGCAGCTAGGGCACCAGCCACATACACCGGAGCTGGCAGGTTTGAACCCAGCCCAGGCCTGCCAAACAACAATGGCAACTGCAACCAAAAAATAGGTGGGCACTGTGGCGGGCGCCTGTAGTCTCAGCTGCTTGGGAGGTTGAGGCAAGAGAATCACTGTTTAAGCCCAAGAGTTAGAGGTTGCTGTGAATTGTGATGTCACAGCACTCTACCCAGGGAGACACAGTGAGCCTCTGTCTCAAAAAAGAAAAATAAATAAAATAAAACATACTTATCTGTGATCATTCCTATCTATAAGTTTCCTTTTCTGTTTGTTTGTTTTATTGAGACAGTCTCAATCTGTTGCCCTGGCTAGAGTGCTATGGCATCATAGTTCATAGCAACCTCAAACTTCTGGGCTCAAGTGATCCTCCTGCCTCAGCCTCCTGTCCCTGAGTAGCTGAGACTACAGGCACCTACCACAATGCCTGGCTAATTTTTCTATTTTTAGTAGAGATAGGGTCTCCCTCTTGCTCAGGCTCATCTCAAACTCCTGAGCTCAAGTGATCCACCTGCCTTGGCCTCTTCAAGTGCTAGGATTATAGGCATGAGCCATTGCGCCTGGCCTCATCCTTAAATTTCTGATAAAAGAAATGAGAAATGACACTATTAAGCTGCACACAAAATGAATGTCATTGCAGATTTTTTGTAGTAATTGAGTGGCATATCAGTTTATTTTTTTCATATTTGCCGACAAATATAAGCATTTATGTAGGAAATTTACTTTTTAGTAATCATATGATTTATACACCTCTGCTTTTTATTATAAAATTATTGGGTTCAAATCCAGCCTGGGCCTGCCAGACAACAATGACACCTGAAACCAAAAAATAGCCAGACATTGTGGTGGTGCCTGTGGTCCCAGCTACTTTGGGAGGTGGAGGGAGGAGAATCGTTTGAGCCCAGGAGTTGGAGGTTGCTGTGAGCTGTGATGCCACAGCACTTTACCCAGGGGTACAGCTTGAGGCTCTGTCTCAAAAAAAGAAAAAAAGAAAAAGAAAAAAAAAGAGAGAAGTAAGAGAAGTAAGAAGTGGAGAAGTGGAGAAGTAAGAAGCAAGTTGAAAAGGAAATTGAAATACATAAAAACCAAGATTGTTACATTTTAGTATGTAAGATAGTTGTCATATTTTCAGGTAGTCATTTTAAGAAGCTATATAGAAAAGAAGTCAATTAGAAGAGAAGCTTTTCAGATGTTGGGGTTAATTGAGAAGCTATTTTCTGGAGACTGATGGGAAAATTTTTAAAATATAAATTTAAAATTCAGGAGCAAATGAATGGGACAAGGGACTTCAGGACTTTATCCTGAAGTCTCATATATAAAAATGAATGCACAAAAATAGGAAACTGATGGAATGAGCTTTTGCTTTATAGAAAGATTTTGCAGGTTCCCAGGCTATCTTTGAGAAGTCACTTTCCCTAATTCCCTTAACATGTAGCTCACTTTATCTACATAGTTTAGACTCCCATGTACTATTTATTTAGAGCATTTGTATGGTTGGGCTGTGTGTGATCTGCTTCATTTGTGGAGGGAAAAAATAAGATAAAAGCTTTTAACGATGTGCACATTTTCATCCCTGTGCAAGAAAAGATAAAACCTGTCCTTATGCGTAAAGTCAAACCATGGGGCTGCTTGCCTTACAGAAAATCGTGCACAAGGGGGACGAGTGCATCCTGAAGGATAACAATGAGCGGAGCAAGTGGTACGTGACGGGCCCCGGAGGCGTTGACATGCTCGTTCCCTCTGTCGGGCTGATTATTCCCCCTCCAAATCCGCTGGCCGTGGACCTCTCTGGCAAGTAAGTTCCTAACAGCGACAGCATGAGTACAAGTGGAGAGAAAGAGGGCAGACACATAATCACTTCCTCAGAAAAGGAAGCTTGCAAGGGCATCTTCCCTTGATCTTATAATTTTATGTGGAAGAGACTGCCCTTGTTGGAGGATATAAAGAAATGTCTGACAGTGTAGGCGGGTTAGAGTGAATAATCCTTGTCACGTACTTTGGAGGTGCTGTTTTAAGGTTATTTCCTTCTTAGTTCATCAGTCATTTTAGATGTAGGCACAAAGGTAAAATGTCTTCAATATCAATATTTATTTGCTCATCAACAGGTTGAGCATTCATTTGCAGATTGTCCTTGGCAGATTCTTTATGAATTTGTGTGTCATCCTTGCCCGGAGGCCATGCTAATCTTCTCTGTATTGTTGCAGTTTTACTAAACGTGCTGCTGAAGCGAGCACCATGGTAGATTCTTTTAAACCATTTAGTAGGAAAATCTTCAACCACACACAGAACTTAGAAAGTAACATAATGAGCTCTCACGTGCTCACGACCAAGCTGGGGTGGTCATCAGTGTCTGAGGCACCTGCCATCCTGTGTTAGACTAATGTCAACTAAAATGTTGTTGGCAAATAAGATGACAACAAAAAATTGAAGTGTGCATTTAAGCCAATAATGTAGATAACTGAGAATGTACTTTGGGGGAGTAAATGAATTCCAGTCATTAAGATCTCAACTGTTGGGTGCCTGTGGCTCAGTGGGTAGGGCATCGGCCCCATATACTGAGGTGGCGGGTTTGAACCCAGCCCAGCCAAACTGCAACAAAAAATAGCTGAGCGTTGTGGGGGGAGCCTGTAGTCCCAGCTACTCGGGAGGCTGAGGTGAGAGAATCACCAGGAGTTGGAGGTTGCTGTGAGCTGTGACACCACAGCACTCTACTGAGGGCGATAGAGTGAGACTCTGTCTCTTAAAAAAAAAAGATGTCAACTGTTTTGAAAATTGTGCATATTCCGGGTACTCTTTAAGTGATTGTTTTAGTTTTTTTGTGCAGTTGTGCAAGCATGCCCAGGTTTCCCATTTGGGATGAAGTTGGAAAGTCTGACTCTAGCTTGTTTTCCCTTTGTGCCTCCTAGGATTGAGCAGTACTATGAAGCCATCCTGGCTCTGTGGAACCAGCTGTACATCAACATGAAGAGCCTGGTGTCCTGGCATTACTGCATGATCGACATTGAGAAGATCAGGGCCATGACCATCGCCAAGGTATATCCTCAGGACCACTCAGGCTGCCCAGAGGGAGTGCTCGTTACCGCCAGTTAGACCTATCTGTGCAGCTAATGCTTTTGTATTTTATCAAATGAGTCAGCTCGGCCTTCCTTAGAGATTCCAGTCTGTCCTGTGGGGCGAATGGGAAGAATGAGCACATGGCTAGTTATAAGACAAAGAGGTTATACTAATTCAAGTGACATGATAAGCAAAAGTATCTGTGGAAAAGGCGTGTGGTCCTGTAAGATTCTGGGTCCTGGCTCGGCGCCTGTGGCTCAAGCGGCTAAGGCGCCAGCCACATACACCTAAGGTGGCAGGTTCAAATCCAGCCCAGGCCCGCCAAAACAACAATGATGGCTGCAACCCAAAAATAGCCAGGCGTAGTGGCGGGCGCCTGCGGTCCCAGCTACTTGGGAGGCAGAGGCAGGAGACTCGCTTGAGCCCAGGAGTTGGAGGTTGCTATGAGCTGTGATGCCACGGTGGCACTCTACCCAGGGGGACAGCTTGAGGCTCTGTCTCAAAAAAAAAAAAAAGATTCTGGGTCCTATTCTCCTTAGATGCAGCAGTTAGGTCATAAATGATTTACTGGGCTGCATGCGGTGGCTCACACCTATAATCTTAGTACTCTGGGAGGCTGAAGTGGGAGGCCAGGATTGCTTGAGCTCAGGAGTTTGAGACCAGTCTGAGCAAGAGTGAGACCTTGTCTCTACTAAAAATAGAAAAATTAGTTAGGTGTTGTGGCGGGCATCTGTAGTGTCAGCAACTGAGGAGGCTGAGGCAGGAGGATCACTTGAGCCCAGGAGTTTTAGGTTGCAGCGAGTGATAATGATGCCACTGCATTGTGGCCAGGACAACAGAGTAAGACTCTCTTAAAAAAAGATTAACTGGATATCACAGGGTAAAAGGTGGGATAGAATTCTTAGAAGAGCACCCAAAGCGTTATGTACTCTAAATCAGTGATTTTCAAATTATGATCTGAAGAATCCTGGGTGTGTTTGAGGAAGGTTCTTTAGGAGTGATAGGGATGGAAGTGGGAGAGGGGTGCAGAATAAGTAGATTTTGGGGTCCCCCAATACCTTTTAAGCTTTTTAGTGAGAGCTGCCATGCTGTGCTTTATATTTGAGGTTTCTGAGTAATATTTCATTTGCAGAAAAAATTCTGTAGGAAAATAAAAATTGGCAAGTTACTGCTATGATTCTTGGGAGCAATGTCTAAACCCGCAGTCCTTTGATATCGTTAAGGGGCCTGTGATGAATATTGCCATGGGCCCCATCTAGCGGGGACATTTGTGGGCCAGCTTTCCTGGATTACATTGTGTGGGCAATCATACATCTCAAATCACTTCTGCCTCATGTACTTCCAGCTGAAAACGATGAGGCAGGAAGATTACATGAAGACAATATCTGATCTTGAGTTACATTACCAAGAGTTTATCAGGAACAGCCAAGGCTCGGAGATGTTCGGAGATGATGACAAGCGGAAAATGCAGTCTCAGTTCACGGATGCCCAGAAACATTACCAGACCCTGGTCATTCAACTCCCTGGCCACCCCCAGACAGGTGAGCTTAGGACATCTTTCTGTCTGTATCAACTACGTATGCAGTTTAAATGAGAACGTGGCTTACATAAAACTAGTTTCAGAACCCTTTCTTGGAAAGATACATATCCAAAGTCATTTGTACACTAAATCATTAGAATCAAATCAAAGGAAAGAGGTATACTTCCATTCAGTACAGATGCTTTTTGAGGCCTTATCCCCTTACTAGGAATTCTGATTTCTGTTGCCCTCACTTCTTTTTCCAGTAACCACAACTGAAATCACTCATCTTGGTACCTGCCAAGATGTCAACCATAATAAAGTCATCGAAACCAACAGAGAAAATGACAAGCAGGAAACATGGATGCTGATGGAGCTCCAGAAGATTCGCAGGCAGATGGAGCACTGTGAGGGCAGGATGTCTCTGAAAAACCTCCTCCTAACAGACCAGGGGTCTTCACACCACATCACAGTGAAAATAAACGAGCTCAAGGTGGGTGTCCATTAGTGTTTTGCATGACTTGTCTCTCTGCATGTATTTGCAGATAAAAAAGCTGCCTAGTTTAAATCTTGTAGGCAAGAGACATTAATTTTCAAGATGACAGGCTTCTGCTAGGATTGCCTTTCTTTCTTTCCTCTGTCTCTAAATTTGTAGAAGGGTATTAGGCTGGGGGCTAAACCACCTTTGCTGTTAAGTTTGTGGGTTGCCAAATTAGGCAACAGTTCCTCCCGAAAATTTCCACACACATTGATTTGGCTTCTTATGTAGCACAGCCTATGGCATGGGCTTGGACAGATGACATTATTTATAGACAAGACACTGACACAAAGAAATTTAGTTGGTAAGGTAAGATCTCCAGGCCATAGACATAGCTGTGACTGCAGCCCAGGTGTGTCAACTCCTAACTCAGTGATACTTTCTGTTCAACGACTCCTGAGCACTGTATTGCAATGTGTATTCTAAAATATACGTATATTCTATATCTGTATATTCTGAGATATGTATATTCTAACATAAGAGAGCCACATTTACTCAGTGCTAATATAGCCATGCCAGAAAAACAAGTGAACTGTCTCTGGAATTCTTTACATGTAGTGCACTTTTATAGGGCCTAACTGTTTATAAGACTCATACAGCTACAATGGATAGTATTAACTTCTATAATGATCAGGGCGTGCAAAAATTATAGTATACAGTAATTTGTTGCTTAGTGACAGGGATATATTGTGAGAAATGTGTCATTGGGCAACTTTGTCATTGTGCTAACATCATAGAATACCTATATAAACCTGGATGGTATAGCCTGCTGCACACCTAGGCTGTTATATGGTATAGCCAGTGGCTCCATGCTATACAAACCTGTATAGCATGTTGCTGTACAGATACTGTAGGCAATTGAAACACAGTGGTAGGTATGTATCTAAACGTATATAAACATAGAAAAGATACAGTAAAAATACAGTATTATATTATGGAACTGCCATCATAAATGCAGTTCATCATTGACTGAAATGTCATTGTAGGGCACATGACTGTGTGTGTATAGATTTATGTATACAATAAAATCTTATCCAGCCTTTAAAAAGAAGATATTGCCATTTGCAAAAACATGGTTGAATCTAGGGGGCAGTATACTAAGTGAAATAACCTATACAGAGTAAGACAAATACTGCCTGATCTCACTTATATACAGAATCTAAGAAAAAAGTCTAATACATAGAAACAGAGTAGAACCAGGTGGCACCTATGGCTCTGTGGGTAGGGCCTTGGCCCCATATGCTGAGGGTGGCAGGTTTGAACCCGGCCCCACCCAAACTGCAAACAAAAAAATAGCTGGTGTTGTGGTGGCTGCCTGTAGTCCCAGCTACTCGGGAGGCTGAGGTGAGAGAATCACCTAAGCCCAGGAGTTGGAGGTTGCTGTGAGCTCTGACGCCACAGCACTCTACCGAGGGCGATAAAATGAGACTCTGTCTCTTAAAAAAAAACAAACAGTGTAGAACCATGGTAACCAGAGGCAACAAGAAAGAAAAGGGGAAATGGTAGGTCAAACAGTACAAATTTACGGTTACGTAGGATGAACACATCTAGGGTTTAATGTACAACAGGAGGACCAGTGGTAATATTGAAAGCGTCCTGAGAGTAGATTTTAGGTGTTCTTACCGCACATAATAAAAAAAGGTAACTATGGGAGTTTAATTTGCTTACCTGTAGATAATCTTGACCCTGCGTGTGTAAGTGTGCATATACAAACAGCATACTGTACACCTGACATATCTACGATAAAAAAATAAAGTAAAAAAAGAATTACAGCTACATCAAAAGAATTTTCCTTTTTTAACAGAGTGTGCAGAATGACTCACAAGGAATTGCTGCAGTTCTCAACCAGCTTAAAGATATGCTTGCTAACTTCAGAGGTTCGGAAAAATATTGCTATTTGCAGAATGAGATATTTGGACTGTTTCAGAAACTGGAAAATATCAATGGCGTTACCGATGGCTACTTAAATAGGTAAACGCAACTAACTAATCTAAAATGTTTGCTTTTCTCAAGCCTCATTTGTTCAGACTTCATTTCCTTTGGATGTTTGGCTTCCTGGAACCTTTGCTTCTTTCATTTCCAGAGAGTTACTTACCCTTTTTTCTGGTTTTGAGACAGTGTCC